TAGCCCAGGGCCAGTCTTTCTCAGCAAAAAGAGGAGGATTGGCATCAGATGTTAGCTCAGGGCTAATCTTCCTCACAAAAAAAAAAAGAAGGAACTGAGCTCCTGTGGTTCACGCCCCTTCTGTCTCCCTTTGGGAGTTGGCCAGACCCCAGAGAAGACGTGTTTTGATCAGACTGAGGCCATGCAGTAAGCATCCAGAGGAACCTCGTGGTTGACCATCTATGCCATGCCCGAGTAGGTTTGGCACATTCAGGGGTGAAATATCAGAAAGCCCACTGGGGCTGCCTAGTGGAGCCACAGGCTCCAAGCTCTCTTTTATCAGTTGTGAAGCTGGTGTTTTCATCTGATTCCTGTGACTGGTCTCAGACTCCAGAAGGAAATTAAGAGATGTCATTGAGGGGCCGCCCCGTGGCTTAGCGGTTAAGTGTGCGCGCTCCGATACTGGCGGTCTGGGTTCGGATCCCGGTCGCGTACAGACGCACCGCTTCTCCGGCCATGCTGGGGCCGCGTCCCACACACAGCAACTAGAAGGATGTGCAACTATGACATACAACCATCTACTGGGGCTTTGGGGAGAAAAAAAGAGGAGGATTGGCAATAGATGTTAGCTCAGGGCCGATCTTCCTCAGCAAAAAGAGGAGGATTGGCATGGATGTTAGCTCAGGGCTGATCTTCCTCACACACACACAAAAAAGAGATGTCATCGATTGATATTTCTCCAAAGTCTCAATAGTAGACAAAGAAAGTTCTAGAAGATTACACACCAAACTTCACAAGGATTTCCTCTGGGGCCTGGGATTAGAAAGAGGTTCACTTTCTGTAATGTTAGAATTCTTTACAAATGTGTATTATCTTTGACACCAGGAAAAATTATGTTCAACAAATGTATGTTTAAACACAAGTATCCATCAATTGATGTATGGATAACAAATTGTGGTATAGCCATACAGTGGATAGGAACTACTCAGGAACAAACTGTTGATTCCTAAGCAACCTGGATGAATCTCAAAATCATTGTGTTGAGTGAAAGAAACAAGACCCCTCCCCCAACACACACAAAGTACATACAATCTGATTCCTTTTACCTAAAATTCTAGGAAAAGCAAAATAATCTATAGTGACAGAAAGCAGATCAGTGGTTGCCTGGGGATGGGATTGAGGGAGGGAGGGTTACAAGGGGCCACAAGGAAACTTTTGGGGATGATGGGAATGTTTGTTATCTTGATTGTAGTGATGGTTTTGAAGCCAGGTACCTAAGGGTTACTGTAAACATTCAATAAGATTACCTTTTGACCTTCTTATGAAAAGAAGTTAATCTTGTCAATTTGCTGTTTTCCTATTTAACCTGAGGGGTAGCTCAAGGGTCACAAGGATTTATGAGCTTGTTTTACAGAAGAAAAAGAATGCCTTCAGGGAAACTATGATTACCAGATAACCAGCCCCCTCCCGTCTGCCCTTGACACTTAGAAGTCAGATTGCCCAGGGGCTTATCGGGAGTGAAAGAAAGATGGATTACCCCTTTGTTTCTCCGAAACTCCTCCTGCCAAGCCCCTTAGCTCTATAAAACCCCCTGCTTTCTTCTCTTGTTAAGGCAGATTTGAGAGGACCTATGCCCCCACCTTTCCTGGCCAGTTTGAATAAACCTTTCTCCATCTCCAAGCACTGATGTCTCAGTGTTTGGCTTACTGCACATCAAACACACAAACTTGAGAATTAAGAGGTTCAGTAACAGTTTCACAAGTGTACACATGTGTCAAAACTCATCAAATTCTGCACTTCAATATGTGTCATTTATTTATGTTAGTAACACCTCAATAAAGCTATAAAAATTTTATATGTCTAGTCTTTGTCCCCTGATGGGCACAATTTTGGGCCATCCTTTGAGACATTGTTACATGTAAGCAAGACAGCTTCCCATAATGGTTAAGATTGTGGAATAAAGTTACTTAGTTGCTGCTCCTTTTCTAGTTGCGTGACTTTGGGCAACTTAACTTCTCTGTGCCTCAGTTTCCTCCTCTATATATTCCTCATTGGGCTGCTGGTAGGCGTCCATGCTTGAAGGACTGAGTGAAGTGCCTGATATGTAATAAACACTCAATAAATGTCAGCTATTGTGATTTTACCTTCATTGGAGGGTGTATTAATCATGTTTTTTATTTTCTATATTTTATGATGCTCTGACATCTTAGGGCCTTGCAAACCTGGGGAAGGACCGCCCCTCTGAGAATTAGGTAATTCTAGAGATTGCAAACACCTTGCCATTGAGCACACCTTTCAAATGCAAACCAACCCATTCAACCACCTCCTTTAATTCTCCCACACTAAACCAATGTTCCCTCTGCCCTAAATCACACCAGGACCAGGTAACAGACAACTAGGGACCACCATTATAGCCTAGAGCCCCCCAAAATTATTCAAACTATGCAATTCTAAGCTTACTCAGCTTGCGTTGCCCATAATAAAGACTCTGTCCCGTGCTGTCCCCTCCTTCCAACCAATCCTGGTGCTCCCCTGTGTGGCCCTGCATGGTATGGCGTGCCCCGTCTTCTTGGGAATTTTAAGTAATAAACTCTTCTTTCAAAGACAGGTGTCTCTGTGTCTGTCACCTTTCCGTACTTGATTAGAACAAATCTCAGGTATATTTTAAAACAGAGGGCAGCTTTAAGACTCCAGCCCCTTATCTGGGAGAAGGCAATGGTCATGGGCGGGGAGATCCCAAGATCCCCTGTGTCTGATGGGAGCTGTTTCTCATTTCCCATAACCCCAAACCCTCAGAGCTAAACCCAGAGAAGGAGTCACTGAGGCAGAGTGAGTCCTCCACAGAGTGAGCCTGGGAGAAAGGCACCTGTAGCCAGTGGTGTGCTGTGGCCAGCTAATGCCAGCTCAGGAGAGCCAATTGCTAAACTTTCAGGAATTCTCTGAGCCAGTTGTTAAACGGTTGGTAGCTTGAAACCAGCCATGGTGAAAGTATTTAAACCACAGAAATTGGCAAACACTACAAACACTACAGATTAGGTCTTGCCCCACCACCTGCTACCGCTGGCTGTTAAACATTTACATTAACCACATTTACCACTAACTTCGTGTCTCCTGCTCCTTTCCTACTGGAAGGCAGAGAGGAGGAGAACGAGAGGAAGATTTTTCCCCTGGAGCTGCTCCAGGTACAGCATCAGTAGCCCACCTCCAGGACCACCAGTAGAGCCCAGCACAGGGCTGGTGGTGACCCCTCCATCATATCCCTACAATACACCCCAGATCTCCAGACACCCTCCACCAGCAAAACAGATCTCATTCCCCTTCCTGAGACTTCTCCAGTCTCCATGCTCCAGCCCGGATCAACCCGGTTCCCCAGGTGTCTAGAGCCGGAGCTGCCAGGTTTGGTGACAGCGTGGGACAAGTAGACCCCAACCACAGTCACATTGCGGGGTGGGAGTGGGGACTCATACCCCAGTCTTCATGTGGCCAGATGGGGAAGGAATTTGCACTCCACCCTCCAAGGAGAAAAACATCCGTGTCCTCTCTGATGGGTGAGCTTGGAAGAAGGAATCAGGAACACTGTTCTCAGCCCCTTTTCTCTGTCCTGGCTCCGCCCACCACAGAGCAGGCGCCCAGGCCGGCAGGCAGGTGGTGAGCCACACACACCCTCCTACCCAGCTCAGAAGTAACGTTCATCTCATGGGGGAGTGCTCATTATCACTATCAGTCGGCCACCTGCATCTTTCAAGTGGTTCAGACTCAAAAGGGAGGAAAAGGAGTTGCTTCTTACTGAACCCCTAAAACCTGAGGCACCTGTGAGGCCCTGTCCAACCTTGCCCCATCATCTGTCTGACTTCACTTTCTTTTTGTTTTTTGTTTCAGGAAGATCAGCCCTGAGCTAACATCCATGCCAATCCTCCTCTTTTTGCCGAGGAAGACTGGCTCTGAGCTAACATCTCTGCCCATCTTCCTCCACTTTATACTGGACGCTGCCACAGCATGGCCTGACAAGCGGTGCGTTGGTGCGCGCCTGGGACCCAAACCCGGGCCGCCAGCAGCGGAGCGCGCGCACTTAACCGCCAAGCCAGGGGGCCGGCCCCATGACTTCACTTTCTATTGATCATCCCTTGTTCCCTCCGCCACATGGACTATTCTTCCCATTCCTGGAAAATGTCAAGCTTATTCCCAACTACAGCATCTTCGCCTTTTGTTTTCCCCAGTGCTTTCCAGGGCTGGTTCCTCATCACCTCTCAGGTCTCAGGTCAGAGAGCCTGCCATGCCCACTCCCCCAGACAGCCACACCTCCATCACGTGACCCTGGTTTATTGCCTCAGAGTCTCTGCAACTATGCCATGGATGTGTTCACCAGCCTTCTTCTCTGACCTTGTCTGTTTTGTTCACTGCTCTGGCCCAGTATCCAGAACAACACCTGCAAAATAGCGGATGCTTAAGAGATGTTTGTTGAATGAATAAACGAAACACTCTTTTGAAAAAAACAATTATTTTTCTTTAATAGCAAAATAATATATACTGTAGAAAACTTGGAAAATACAAAATATAGAAAACATAATTTAGAACCTTTATTGATGTTTTGATCATCAAAGCATGAGTCACACCTGCCCTTTCTCTCCATGTCCCCCAGGTGCATGTAGGTATGTCAATGGTGTATAGGTGTGTGGGTGCACATAGACAATCCTTCCAGGGTTCCTAAGGGGTCTGGCCCCTCAGGTCCCTCCAACTCCTAATTCCACCCTTCTGCTTCTGTCCTGCCACTGCCGATGACCCTGAGAATCACCCTTTGTCGAAGACCTTCTCAGGCCTGGGGCCAGTAAAGAGTAAGGCTTTGCAACATATCCATGAGGTAGCTATGGTCTTCCCCATTTCTAGATGTGGGGACCGGGCTTCCAAGAGGCTGGCTGATGTCACAGAGGCCACACAGCCTGCAAACAATGATTCCAATTGTCTGGAGGTCCCAAGGCCTCGGCTGTCTCTACCTGTGGCCTTCAGGCTGATCACTGCCGTCTGCAAGGTGCTGCTCACAGGGGCTGGGGCTCGTTAATGAAAGCTGAGACGGGTCTCGGGGACGGGTGGTGCAGTCACATCCACCAGTCCATGGATTCTTTGGGGCAGGCCCTGACAATGACCATGCAGTGGGGCAGCCCCTCACACAGGATCCTCTCGGCCTCCTGGCGCTCCCAGCCCAGCCCCTGCAGCTCAAGCACCCTGAGCTTGGGCATGTTGAGGCAGGAGGAGAGGATTTCAGCCGGGGAAGGCATTTCCGGGGTGACGAGCGGGCCCAGCAGGCACAGACTCTCCAGGGCTGGCATGCCCTCCAGGACCGACAGGCCGGGGGCAGAGAGGCCCCTGACGGTCAGCCGGATCTTGCGCACGTCCCGGAGGTGGCGGCTGATGGCCAGGAGGGTGCTGTCGGCCGAGAGGGTGCACCCCAGCACCTCCAGCCTCTGCAGGTAGCTCAGCTCCTGCAGGCCCGCATCCAGCCCCGTCTCGGTCACACGGTAGGTGCCGCCCAGCACCAGCGAGCGCAGGGCACGGAAGCGGGTCAGGCCCTGCAGATGCTCGTCGCGGAAGGCGGGGACGCGGTCCAGCACGATGCACTCGAGCAGGGGGAGCACCGTGGGGTCCTGCTCCTTGAGGAGCCAGGCCATGGAGATCTCACAGCTGTGCAGCTCCAGGGTCCTCAGGGTGCAGGGCAGGCTGGTGATGGGCACCATGCTCAGGTCAGCCACGTGCAGGCAGAGTCGCTTCAGGTTGGGGCACTTCTGGCCCAGGGCCCTCAGCAGGGCAGGGGACAGCTGGGGGGCCTGGGAGCCGGAGAACAGGTAGCCGCCCATGCGCAGGGAATGAAGCCGGGAGGCCATGTAGCGGCGAAGGAGGTGCCACATGACTTTAGGCCGCATCTGTAAGAGCCAGAGATGGGGGTGACTGGGGGCAAGGCACGGGGGGATCTTCCAGGGCCCCTGCCTGCCTGGAAACAAGAAACCCCAGCTGGGGTTCTGGTGCTCCCATGAAATCTGTCCTTCCATCCCCTGCCAGCCTCACCAGACCAAATACCCGGCCAGGAGTAACAAGACTTTTTTTTTTTTTTTTTTTTTTTTTTTGCTGAGGAAGATTGGCCCTGAGCTAACATCTGTTGCCAATTTTCCTCTTTTTGCTTGAGGAAGATTTGCCCTGAGCTAACATCTGTGCCAATCTTCCTCTATTTTGTATGTCACCGCTGCATGGCCACCAATAAGAGGTATGGGTCCGTGCCCAGGAACTGAACCCAGATGGCCAAAGCAGATCATGCCAAACTTAACCACTAGGCCATGGAGCTGGCCCCAACAAGACGTTTTAACCCCACCATTTTGATTTCTAGGTTTGAACAAAAACAATGAGGGAAAGAGAAGATCACAACAGATCTGTCTTAGCAACAGAGTGGATTCTCATTATCTTCTGGAATAAGTAAGAAAGCAAAGCGACCCACTGGTATTTTTATCCCTTTCTTAATGACCACCTCTGGTAGCAGTAACAAAGTAAAACTGAAAAAAGCTAAAACTGCCCAGGGCAAATCAGAGCTAGGTTGAAAACAAACAAAAAAAATCACAGCCTGGCCATAGCGAAAAGCTGCAAAAATTAACCCAAGAAATTTGACTTGAAAACAAACAAAATATAACTAGCTGATAGCACTGTGCCTTTCACTGTATGTACATTTTACCTTTAAGAAAAACAAAAAGAAAAGGAACTGTATAGCATACAATTTGTTGACTACTTTTGACAGAATAATCAAATCTTCCTGGCCAAATTTCGACCTGCAAGTTTGGGCCCAGGGAAAGGAACTCACTAGAAATATTGCCACTAAAAGGTAACTCACAAGCGTAGAAGCCATGGAGGCTAAATTTAAAATGGGCACAAAGCCAATGGGTGAACCAACTTTTACTTGCAAAATGACAAAGGAGAAAAAGTTTTTTGTTTTTTTTTTTTGTGAGGAAGAAAATTCTTTAAAGTTTCACAATATCAAATATTGGCCAGGATGCGGAGAAGCACATCTTGAGCCCTCCTGGTGGGAACTGGTCTGGATATTTCCAATGCAATCTGGTGGTTTCTACTGAAATGTAAAATGTGGACACCACTACCACTCGTTTTGTTTTTGAAGAATATAGATGTTTGTGTTTTTGTGTGCAGAGTATCTCTAGAAAGATTCAAAGGAAAATGGGAGCATTTGCTGTCTCTAGGGGAAAAAATGGGGTGATTTGGGTGACAGAAGTAGAAGGTGACCTTTTTTTTCACCTTTTACTACATTGCATATTTTGAGTCCTGTGGGGTTTTTTTTGTTTTTTTGGTTTGTTTTTTTTGCTGAGGAAGATTCGTCCTGAGCTAATATCTGTTGCCAAACTTCCTTTACTTTGTATGTGGGTCGCCACCACAGCATGGCTGACGACTGTAGGTCGGTGCCCAGGATCCGAACCCACAAACCCGGGCCACCAAAGCAGAGAGTGCTGAACTCAACCACTATGCCACATGTATTATTATTATTATTTTTTGTGTGTGTGAGGAAGATCAGCCCTGTGTTAACATCTGCCAATCCTCCTCTTTTTGATGAGGAAGACTGGCCCTGAGCTAACATCCATGCCCATCTTCCTCCACTTTATATGGGACACTGCCACAGCATGGCCCTACAAGTGGCGCGTCGGTGCGCGCCCGGGATCCAAACCCCAGGCCGCCGCAGCAGAGCACGCACACTTAACCACTACGCCACCGGGCCGGCCCCTGTATTATTATTTTTAAAAACTAACTCTTTAGTTTGTTTAAATGCACACACTGCCTAACCTAGTAATACCTCTTTTTTGAAATTTACCCTTGAGAAACACTGGTTTCTGACAGCACTGTTTTAACAGCAAAATCTAGGGAAAAAACTAAAATGTACACTGGTAAGATAATAGCCATCTAAGCAGCAATTCAGAACAAAGCAGATCTAGAGATACGAACATGGGTAATTTCTCAAGACAGGCAGGAAACAGTGGCAAAATAATGCCTCATAGATAAAAGAAAAAAGAAACAATACCATTTATTTTGTCTGGGTATAATTATTCCCCGACATAATGGCTAACATTTATTGAGTATCTACTGTTTGCTAGGTACAGCGCTGAGCAATGAACTAGAGCACTGATCACTGAACTACCTGGTCATGTAGTAGATACCCCTGGAAAAATAATCTTGGCTAGAATCTTGCTGCAAGAGGAAGAGGTAAGTTTCAACACAGACTGACTCCAAAGCTGAATCCTGCTCTTGTAACCCCTGCTCTTTCCTCCTTACACAGACACAAGGATGTAAACGCATATAAGATGGGATGGAAGGAAATATTCCACCCTTATAGTGGTTCCTCTGGGGAGGGGTGAGGATACCAGAGGATGACTGTCAAAGGCTCTTAGCTTCAGCTGTGGCAATATTTCAACGTTCTTACAAGGAGAATTATTCGTGACTCGTGATTTTTTTAAAATAAACTTTCACTAGTACGTAAATTATATATCAAAAAGAGAACTGTAAAACAAATGTTCTAGTTAATCTCTATTATGTGTGCTGAAGTGTTTAGGGATGAAGTGGACCCATGTTTGCAACTTATTTTGAAACACACTTAAATAAAATGGATTGGGCCAGCCCTGGTGGCCTAGTGGTTAAGTTCAGTGCATTGGCTTCGTGGACTCGGGTTCAGTTTCCAGGCACGGACCCACACCACTCCTCTGTCAGGGACCATGCTGTGGTGGCGGCTCACATAAAAATTAAAAAAAAGAGGACAATTGGCAACAGATGTTAGCTCAGGGCAAATCTTCCTCAGCAAGAAAAAAAAAAAAAGACTATTTATTCCAGCGGGATAAGGAAAAGGACATTATTTGCCTCACACTAGTTCAGGTCAGGGTTTGCCACCAAATGAATTTGTGCCAAGCTTACAAAAAAACTGTTCACTTTGCAGACTTTTTGATTCTGGAATTGTAGATAAGGAAATGAAGATGATAAAGTATAAACGACCCTACCCTCAGAAATTGCACCTCTAGGTTTCTGAGTAACTCCTACCTGGACACAAGAAGACGGACACAAGCACATTCTCACGGAACAAGAATCAGTGGCATGAGTGACACCTGGGAGGTTGTTAGAAATTCAGAATCTGGGGCCCTCACTCTAGGCAGCTGAATCAGAATTTGCATTCTGACAAGATCCCCACGTGACTCATACGCACAGTAAAGTCTGAGACACCACTTTATAAGACTGTAATCATAAAAAGTTGGAAATAAACTAAATGTCTGTCAACAGGAAAACAGATGAACGCATTGTGGTATATTAATTTAACAGCAGTTAAAAAGAATGACCTAGATTACAAGCGCCAATTAGAATAAATCTCAAAAGCAATGTTGTGTGATGGAAGCTAGTTGTAGATGGATGTGTAACTAAAATAGCATTTAAATATCTAAATAGTGGAATAGCATTATCTAAACTTTAGAAACACGTTAACAATACTGTATATTGTTTATATAGGGCACCCACACAAGAAGTAAATAAAAACGTAAAAGGATAAAAATCCACTTTCTAATAGTGGTTGCCTCTGAGGAGGGTTCCAAAAAGTGCGCCAAATATACCTATAAATGTTATATGCATATATGTACACATAAACATTTGTATGTGTGTTTCACACGATCTGCAGTAAACGAGGGCAAAGGTTAAAATAGGTTAAATCGAGGACATGATTGTTCTACATATTTGAAATAGTTCATAATAAAAACAAGAAAAATGAGAATGGGGGAAAGTAGAAATGGTTCGGTTGCACTACTCAGGAAATTAATTCTGGAAATAAGCTGACTATGGAAAATTATTTCTCCATGAAAACTCACCAATGATAATAATATTTGATAATGTAATCATCAACCAGCATCTATCGTATGCTGACTATATGCCAGACACTAACGGTGCCCATTCCCTGCACAATCTCGGTTACCCCATTTTGGAGATGGGGAAACTGAGGCCGGGAGGTCGCAGAGGAGCAGGTAAGCGACGCGACTGGAGTGCGCCCGGGACTGCCGGGCTCGAAACCCAGGGTGAGAGGGGTGGTCTCGAGGTCCGGCCACCCGACCGCGGCCCAGGCCGGCCCCACGTACCGTATAGAGGGTCAGGTCGACGTGTCGCCACAGCCACCGGTCGTCCACCAGCCTCTTCCAGCGGTGACAGACCCTGAGGGAGGGGACCCGCGGTTAGAACGACCCCGGCCCCGCGGGGACCGGATCCGCAGCTCCGGGCGCGCCCCCCGCCCGGCCCTTCCTCACCTGGAGACGCGGATCCGGTCCCGGACCGGGAGGTAAGAGAAGACCTCCAGCAGGACCGAGTCCGGCAGGTCGGCGAAAGTCGCCATGATCCGGCCGACACGCACTTCCGTTTCCGGCGAGGGGGACTCGGGGATCACCCTGGGGGCGCCCCAGGAGGCGGGGGGAGGTGGGGGTTCGGCAGTGCGGTAGCCGCGGCCTCCGGCAGCCGGCGGAGACTTTCGGCTTTCCTCTTGCGCGAACGTTGTTGGGCCTCAGCTCCACACCAGCTCGGGGTCTGGACCAAAAGCTGAGGACACGGCTGGGGCCGAGGATCAAACCCAGAAGGCGTGGCCGGGGTGGTGACAAAGCCCGGGGGCGGGGTTAGGGGCGGGG